GATGCTATAAATATTTACTGAGAAGATAACTAGATTTCTGCGTGCTGGGCCAATTATGATGTACTAAATATATTAGTAAAATGCTTAAAAAATTGAGAGGATTTGTGTGGGTCTTTGGGTGGGTTGGTTTGTTTTGGAAAGTGAAATAAAAAGGCACTGTTACTGTCGTGTCAGTTTTATTAAGCCTGAATCACAATGGCATACCCAGGGAAGGACACATGAAACCCACATTAATGCAAATTAATTCGTTATGAGTTGCAGCGCTGTGACTGCTAAGTGGAGTAATGATGGGGCATCATTTTAAGAGTGTTAGTGTAGCAACTTCTAATGAAAAATGCTGGGTTAGGAAAATGTCTCAGCACCTTAGCCCACGTGTGTTTCTATGCTAGAAATGGGTTTTGTACAAGGGGAGGAAACTTGCTTTGCTTTATTTCTTCCCCTAGTTTAACAACTTTAATTATGTTTTGTTCTTTGGAAGAAAATCATCTAGTTTTTCCTCAAAAAAACCAACCACGAAATGCCTATCACTATAACCAAGTTCAACCTCAACTTTTTTTTTTTTTTTTTTTTTGGTAAGCGATTGCAACAGCACAGAGTGGAAAAACAATGAATGTAGCATCCCCCTGTAGACCTGTAGATAAAACTTTCTTGAAGCGATTTTTTTCCCCCCTTTTTTTCTTCTTGGAGGATTTTGGTCTCAGGCAATGTTGCAAGTCAATAACTTCTTTCCCCAAATGTGAATAGGTGGATATGTATGGAAGCTGTAAAAGTTAATGATCGCTCTCTGACTCATAGCTGATGCTTTCAGGTTGAGGAAAAGAAAAAAAAAATTAATGAGGGTAAATAGACATTTGGTAGAACACTGAGACAGTAGGAGAGATTGTTCTTGTGTCTAAAGGCATGCATTTCGTTTCAGCAGAATTTCTGAATGCCAGGAAGTGAAAAGGGGCTGCCATTGTTAAGTTGTTGTTTTAGGATGGTACAAATGTTCGGGGTCTAGATCTTTGCAGGAATGTTTAAACCCGAGGAGAGGACTTGCCAGTCAATGCTAGTTTTGCCTTTCCCCTCGAAGTTAGAGGCCGCCTTGGCATTTTTAATAAGGGCAGGCAGGAACCCAAAGTCTTGGTTGGAAGTTTATTTCCCATTAAATGTAAAGGGCTCTCTCTATGTTGGACTAGGGGCTGGGGCGGGGGTGGGGGGGACTCTGCATAGAATGTTGCCTTGTGGCAGCCTCAGCCCCAAGAGATGACTGATCTCCCCCCAAAAAAGGCCTCAGACATACAGTACCAAAAGAAAAGGATTTTTGCCTTTAAGGTAATAACATGGAAAGTAGACTTCAAGTGCCTCTTGGTAGTAAGGTAGAGAGGGAAGTGAACTTAAAAAAACCTACACTTCTTAGGACATGGATCTGTTTTTTAAATACATATATAGAAGGAAAAAGCCAGGCTATTCCTGAAACTGAAAATAAAGTAAATGTCCCAGCTCTTCCCAATTTAGTGGAATGACTAGGCATGCAAAATTTTTCTTGATCACTTTGGAAGTTCACTTAGTGTTGGAAAAACCAACAGAGGGTTTCAGTTTTTTTTTTTTTTTTTTTTTTTTAAGTCGTCTTTGAGGATGAAATTCCTGTGGTGGAGAAAAGCTGTTTCCTCTTCCTTCCATCTCTGACTATCTCTGATGTTTCGTATCAGAAACATCACATTTAGAACCAGTGGTAGTGATTGGAAATCAAACGGAAGGACTCAAGATCGGATGATGGTAATAATAAGGGAAACAGTTAATCGTAAGATACTGGTTTTTAAATTGCTAAAGAATTTTGCAAGCCTGTGCTGAGGACTGCCAGGTTTTCATGGTTATTTCTCTGCAGAAGTGAGAGCTGGGGCATCTAGAGGTGGCAAATGGTGTGGGCTGGGCTTGATCACTGGAAAAAGCATCCAGGAAGGGAAGGTTTAATTCGGTTGAGAATTTCACCGGAAGGAATGACAAGTACCTTAGCAGTCCCATTTGGTGACTCTCCTGGGCCCTCCAGGGAAGAGAGCACGTTGTGGAGGGTGTGGTATGTGTCCAGGTTGGAGCAGCCATAGTTGTTAGGTGAGGGAGTGTCCCTGAGAGCTCCAGGTGACCAGTGTAGGGTGGTCCCAGGAAGGGAGGCTGTGGAGACCTGGGTCTTAAACTCAGAAAAGCTTAGCATCCTTGTCCCGATCTTTCTTCTAAAATAGAGAGGGCCAACCCCCTCTTGTTCCCAGCATTTAGAGAGAATAAACCATTGTTTCAGTTCAGAATGCCAAGTTTTTATTGGGTATTTGTACTTTATCTTCTTCTTAAAAAAGCTAGACTCTAACCAACAAGGTGTCTGTATGTTTTACAGGGAAGGATCAAACAGTAATGGTATGAGTTTTAGGAAAGACTATTTGGGAAACCCAAAGGAGGAGCAAGGCAATGTGAAGTCCTCGTCACAATTGCTGGAGGAAGTGTAGCTTGGAAATCTCTTCAACCCAGTGGCTACTGGCTGGGAGTCAAAGATCTGGGTTAGACAGAGGGAGCTGCCTGTGCGAGGTGTACTCGTGAACAGATTGGGGTCGCTGTGTTGTCGGACACCTGAGGGACGTTACATTGCTTGTGGGGGTGAGGTGGTGTTAGGATGGGGTGTTGTGTGCACGTGAGTGTAGGTATGGTTGGTTAACTTTGTCCCACATGTTCGCTTCTCTGCTAGAGTCTTAAGCAACTTGCAGCTGCATTTTTACTGTTTTCCTTGCAGCGTTCTCTCCACAATTGCGGGTGTTATTCGGGTGGTGATGAACGCAAGGATTAAGGAAAAAACCAGACAAGTGAAAATTGAATTTGGATTAGCCACCGTTTCATTAATTTATTCATAAGACTGTGACTATGAAATTTTTTTTTTTCCACAACATATCCTTAGTTATCAGGTGTCCATTCAATTTTAATTGACAATCTAAGATTCCTGTGGTTACCCTGAGTACAGATTGCCTAGGGCTCCGCAGGGTTTGTGGGAAGAAAAGCTCGGACAAGTTTCCATTAAGCTCTGAATCAGGCAATTGGAAAAGAGGAGAATACAACGGACTGAAAGAGGGACAAGTTGTTAGTGTTGCCTGCTCTGCTTAGCAGGAGAGCCCTCCTCTCAGACAGGAGCTGCTCTCTGGCCAAGAATTCCAAACTCGCAGAGAAACCTGTCCCAAGCACAAAAGTTGTTTTAACATGATGCAGAATTGTCACAGTAATTAGTGCAATCTCCGCTTACTGACTGGCAGTTTTTACAAAAAGGACAGGGGGACAAAGGGTGCAAATTCATCTTTCTTTTTCAGCGACTCACTTTAGATGAACTGCTTCTGAGTGTGCCGTGGGGGCAGGGCGCATGGGTGTGGGGGTATATTCCCAGTGCATCATTTATTGTATGTTGGGGATTGTGGTTTATTACTCTGCTTTGACAGGTATAGAGATTTTTTTCCTGCCTTTATTGTGTCACCTTTCAATTTTGATTAATATTCTGTTCTGGGGCAAAGACACAGATTTATATATATATATATATATATATATATATACACACACACATATATATATATAAACTTACATGTATGTGCATGTATGTGTATATATGTAATATTTATTTAGAACAGATAAACTTATCTCAGTGCCACTAAAATGGTACTTATAGCCTTATCCCATAAGCAATATAATTTACATCATTTAAAAAATTTGATTTCTACCGTGTCATGTTTGAATGGGTTCAAAGGTTCTTAAGTGAATTTGTAATTTTTTTTCCCCCCTTAAAAATGCAACTAAGCTGTGTGGCCTGAATGACTTTGTTCCAGGGAGCAAGATACGAAATGACTGGGTCTGAAACTCACTTGCAGCCTGAATTACGCTTTGTTCTGTGATGCAGCCGTGGCCTGGTAATGGCGATTCAGTGCAGCAGTAGTAGTAGCCGGAGTTCGGTACAGTCCAGGCCTGTGTTTGCAGATGCCCTGTCTTTGCCTCTTGCAAGGAGGGGGATGGGCAGCCATTTCACAGGATCATCTGATTTCCTCATCATTTGTTCACATATGGCCAATTAAAAGGCATTTTCAGATACTTGTTGAGATCCTTTATGATTATTGTATTGTTTATACAATAACTCACCAGATGGTGTTTGTTTTCCCAATTGGTAGGACCCTAAGATTCACAAGTATGAATGGGGACAACAAAAACCGGGTGAGGAGTCTTGGTGTTCCTTTCTATTTGGGGATACCTGCTGCTTTGTTGATAGCCTGCAGGGCTTCTGAAGGAAAGATGGAGACAAGCCTTAAACCTTGTGTGCGGTGGAGGGCCTGAGTAACCCGGTGACTTCATTCAGTCAGCTGCCACCTGCTAGGTGGTCCTTAGAAAACTGGTGGCTCTTTAGCAATAGCTGACTTCCTCTTCCGGGGATGTGTGGGTTACTCGAGTGCGGATGGGTCCGAGGACGGACAGCTTCGTCATTGTGAAAGAATGTATAAGGCATCGGGTGGCCCCTGAGTTCTGTCTGCCACATTAGTTTTCCCAGAAATAGAGTCGTGTTGAAGAGCCGGGGCCTGGTTAGTAGATATGCGTTGGGGTGCGTGTTGCACTTGTTGCAGTCTGTGGCTTCTCATGATCCTCTCTCTCGTCATCTTCTTGCCTCCACGTCGCGGTCCTCATGACTTTTTGCTGCACACAGTTGATTTCCCTTCAGTATCCTGCTCAGCACCCTGGCTTCCTTTATGTCTTAACGGGCATCAGTCTTTCCTTTTCATGTCATTGATTCTCACTCCTGGCCACCCCCCTCCCCTTTTTGCTTATTGAATAGGTGCTTTAACACAAAAAAACTTAGATTATTATGATCATCTTATCCATAGCAACAAATAAACGTACACAGGTCCTGATTGAATGCCAAGGCTGCAGTTCAATCTGGGAAGGTTTGTCTGCTATTCATAAACTGCTTAAGATGTTTTCTTGTAGTTTGTGACATAAGCAGACGCTTTGATTTGGTTTCTTTCTACAGCTCCATTTTCAGTCCGGCAGCACGCATTACTCTGCGTACAAAATGATTGAACACCAGATTGCAATTCAGGTAGGAAATGCAAGAGATCCTGAAGCTCGAACTGTCAATGTGTAGGCCTCTTGTATCTTCTATTCTCTGCCCCTCCCCCCCAGATGCTGATGCTATCGGTGGTGATGGTGATGGTTGAATCTTGGCGGGCGGGGGGGATGGTGGTGGTGGGGAGAAGTGGGAAGCAAAGAAAAAAAGAACTGAAGAAATGCTGCTAAGATGACTTGAAGCTGCAGAAGGAGAGAGAAGCCTGTGTGTATTACGAGTTTCTTGGTCAGGCAGAATGGGCACACGGCCCCAGCTTGGCTACTGTTTTTTTTTTTTTTTGCAGAGGGAGGGATCTGAAGTGGGAGTAAAACAAGGGGAGACAAAATGTGAATGGGAAGGATTAAAGGGGGAGGGCAGAGGAGGTCGAGTGACAGCCAGAGAGTTGTTTCCGGTGCATCAAAAAAAAAAATCCGTTAAGAGGTGCTAAGAATATCGCTTTTGACCTGATCATCCTGAAATGTTGATTTCTCGTGAACCTGTTGATATATGACACAGAGAAATGGGAGGGCAAGGCGGCAGATTGGGGCTTCTGATTGAGTGTCCTGTTTCCTGCTCACGTAGTACTTCCATTCTCTTAAATCCAAAGGCTAAACAAATCACGGACTAATATAGACTTGGTGCTGAACTGATGCCAACGGAGCGCAAGAGTGGAGCGAGAGCAGACTAATACGATTTTCGTCTGTCTGCCTGGCCCTCATGGTGTAACTAATGGCACCAAAACTTCTCGAGTGTTCTGGTTTAACTCTTTGGGGAGAGGCTTTTGAAACCTTTTCTGGTGGTCAAGCCTGGCTGTGGTTGATCTGCATTGATGTGGGTTTGCTCGAGCAGTTACATTATCCCGTTGCTCTGTGGCTTGCAGGAGGCACTTGCAGGGCACTGGCCTATATGTGTGTGTGGTCTCTCCTGCCGCGGGAGCCACTTGCCATCTTTGTGGATCTGCCAGTTCAAATCTGCATCTTCCTCGATAAGACTTTCTAATAGCCAGTTGCCCCCAGGTAAATGGAATTACTCTACCAGTGAAAGGCATGAGTCAGCAGACATTTTCATTGGGTGGATTCCTGGTATTTTTGTACTCATTTCAAGGCAACAGTAACTTACTTAAAAAATACTTTGGTTACTCTGCAGTAGCGCGGATCTTGTGTGTGTGTTTTAGGGGAAAGTGTGACTGTTGACTTTACCCCTCCGACCCCAAGTATTTTCAACACCAGAGTGTCTTTCGCTTGAGCGAGTCTCGCAGGCACGTTTCCTGTTGGCCCCTTCTGGCTTTATGATTAACGGCCTAGTAAGGCTTGCTCCTAGAAAATGTCTTAGGCATCGGGCTTGGTTAGAGAACAAGGCCAAACCCTGACTCTGATGAATGGATGGATGAACAGACAATGTCCTGAGACCTGCTACATCTCATGGAGTGCTGGAAAATCCTGTTGCCTGGGGTGTGGGAATTGTTGAGGTTGAATAGGATAGTGATCCTTATCTTGGTGTGGAAAGGCTGGCTGGGGCCATGTCACTGGGAGACCAGACCAGCTGTTGTATCTTTACACCCGTTGCTGAAGTGCCCCTTGTTAGACCGAGCAGTTCGTCTTTCTCCAAACCACCTGGCACGGTGCAGGCCATGTGAAGCTCTTTCTCAGGAGGAGGATGGAGTAAATTACAGAGCTCATTGTTTGAAGGACTGAAACCATCACTATTCCTCCATGAACAGGTAGTATTGTTCTCCCCTGCTTCTATTTGCTAAGGCTTGATGCCCATGTGGGCAAACAGAGAGACATTTTATTAGAGCCCCAGTACCATGCTTTCAGTGTTCACGCTCGCTCAGTCTCTGCGAGACCAGCACGAGGCCAAGCCAGACAGCATCTAGCTGTAATTGTAGCGTGATCATCAAAGGATAAATGGCAAAAAAAAAAAAAAAAAAAAGGAAAGAAGGGGGAACCTCAGACAAAATGAAATTGTTCCCAAAGTACTGCATTGGCCAGGTCAGCAGCACTGTGGGCGGGGGGAAGGGGCGAGGTTGACCTCGCTCTAGTGCAGTGTAGACAAACCTTTCCCCTTCATTCCCTTTTCCATTTTAGGCCTTAAATTCTGTCTTTAGGACAGAATTTTCTTCCCTGGGAATTTAGAACTGTTTAAACTTAATAAATACTGTATTTCAATGGGGGCTGAGCTTGTCGCTCTCCTAAGCTATATCCGAAAATAACCCCGAGTAAGATGACACCATGCATCACGTGAGATTCCTGCCCTTTGCCCTTCCCATCCCTCCTGTAATCTCAGGATGTGGCCCAGTGTACTGTTTATGTGAATGGCCTGAGTGATTCCGTAGACATGTCACATTCTTGGGAAAGTTTGAACACTATTCGTGGCTAGGTTGGGATCCTCCCGACTTTTGACAATCTCTTACCTTCTCTCAGTTTAGAAGAGACAGGAGCAACACCAATGGCCTCGTTCTCCAGAGATGATGTATCTAGAATGAAACGTAAAAGGCTTAAATAAAACCTTTTAAAAACGTTTGCTTATTTATTTCATGAGAAAGAGACAGAGAAAGGAACCCTGACAAGGCGTTCATACCACAATCAGTGCCAATCTCAGCCAGCATGCTTAGGGAGGTTCCAGGGCACCAACCCAGGGTGGTTCCAGTTGTATTACCACTCGCCACTGCCTGGTCCCTAAATGGCATTTTTAAAAAAGACATAGTGGTTAGCTCCATGGCCTGGTGTTTAAGGCAGCTAGATCTCACATGGCTGACATGGTTCGAGTCCCAGACCTGATCGGTTGAGAAACATGAGGGGACACGCACGTATGTGTCCCAAATCCTGGAGGGCAGAGAGATGGAGAAGAGATTGCAGCATGAGCACACCCCATGGTGAGGGGTGGCTGTGTTTTCTTCTCATTGCTCTGTGTTTCTCAGCTGAGTGCAGCTAGATCTCAGAAACACACACACACACATGCACACACACACACACACAAAAACCAGCCCCCGGTTATTTCATTCTATTGACTTTCAAAAAGTTTTATTGAAGTGCATTTTAAATATATCACAGTACACAGCCCTTTAGTAGAGAATTACATGAACTTTCATAAACGTGTACCTCCATGAAATCATCACTCAAATAAATAGAACAGGGTTCAGACGTATTTTCTGTGAAGGGCCCGATTGTAAAGACTGGGTTGTCAGAAGAGTCGTGATGTATTTTTCTGTGTAAAAATGAGTCATGACTTTTCTGATGACCTAGTATTCAGGCTTTTTGGGCTATATGGTTTTTTGTTTTGGCTTCAGTTTTCTAGTGGGTGCATGTCTTTGCCAGAGAGAGACAGAAGGAGTGGGAGAAGGAAAGCAAACTCCACTCCCCGCAAGTCTCCCCATGGGGCACTCCCTTCTCTATCTCTCCCTCCTTTTGAGATTTTGGGCATACATGTGCCTGGTATGTTTCTCAAGCTGCTGAGTCCGGGACTTGAACCACAGTCTGCCATGTGGGATCCAGCTGCTTTAGCCACTAGGCTTTGGGCTGGCCCCATGAGGACATGAGGTTTCCTTTTTATAAAAAATAATTATTTTAGGGACTGGCAGGTATATGTTTAAGGGTGCTGGATTCCACATGGCTGGCTGTGGTTCGAATCCTGGACCTGGCAACTTGGTTTCTCATTTTCCTCCTCTCTTTCTCTCTCTCTGTGTCTCTGTCTAATTTGATCAAATTAAAATGAAATAAATAAATAAAACTTTTAAAAAAAGAATTAGTTAGGGATCAGCAGATGATGTAATGGTTATGTTGCTGGACTCCCATATAATCGACCATGGCTTGAGTACTGGATCCGGAGGTTTAAAACTCGTGCTGAGCATGTGTACGTCTGTGCCCAAAGTCTTGAGAATGGAGGAGAGATATTGCAATGTGGCCATCCCCCCTGGGGTGTGATTTCTTGCTTTTTGTCTCTCTGTGTCTCTATTGAGCACACACTCCTTATAGCAAAAATCTCTCAAAAAAAAAAAAAAAACCTAAAGAATAATTTTACTCATTATTCGTTTTTAAAATTTGACCAGAGAAAGGTAGAGACAGAAAGTGAGAAAGCAGGCTGCGAGGTCCGGGTCTCGAGCCACGGTTGGCCATGTGCAAGTCCAGTGCCTTAACCATTGTGCCAACAACTGCTGGTCCTGGTATACAGTTCTATACAACTACTCTACCCTGCTATTGTGCTTTGAGAGGAGGCCAAGATAGAGGAGTGTGTGTGGCCATGTCCCAATAAAACTTTATATATAAAAACAGGCAGTGGCTGGCTATGGCCCCACAGGCATACTTCGCTGGCCTCTAATAAAGGAGTCTCCTTCCCCCCTCCTCTTCCTCCGGCACCTTCTTCCTCTTTCCCCTGCCCCCAGTCAAAATTCTCACCATGGATTAGTTTGATCTATCCCCATGGATTCGTTTCGCCTGTATTTTTGGCTTCATGTAATTGGAATCACGCAGATTGGAGTGTTTCACATCCGGCCTCACTCGGCGTTATGTCTGTGAGCTTTATCCACGTTATTGTGGGTAGCAAGGATTTGATCTTCCTCATTGCCATGTCGGATTCCATGTATACATATGACCCAGTGCACATTCTCTTATCCTTTCTGCATTGCTGGATATTTGAATTACGTCTAGTATTTTGCTTTTATGACTAAAGCTCTAGTGACATTCTCACACATGTATTTTGGGGGGGAAGTATGTTTCTGCTTCTGTTGTTCATACACCAGGGGGGCTTTGGAGAGGCATGGGTAACTGTGTGTTTAGCTTTGCACTGGCCTTTTGGCAAACACTTGAACTGGATTTTGAGTGCTGCCATTGAAATGTGCCAGCTAGTATTTAGGTGTTTTTTGTGGGGGAGGGAGTAGTACATACCTGGGTATGATGGGAGGCCAATTTTGCCCAAGCTCCAGTACAGGCCCCATCACCCAGTGGTTTGGCCTGTGGCCTTGGGTCCTAGGGACATGTCCCACCATCTTCTCCACT